CAAATTGCAAAATGTCGCTGTAAAAAAAAGAAAATGTCAAAACGCTATTATTCCCCAACCTAAGACATAACCGTACTAATAAATATTAGTACCAATATTAATCGCGTTCAACATCTTTCACAATATCTCTTTCAAATGAACCTTGATAAAATCATTAACAAAATTTATAAGGTAAAAAATTTGTATTGTGAAAAATATAATAGTATGTACTGTAGTCCTTCCATTCTCAAAAACCACCCTTTTGAATTATTATCAAACATCTACAAATTGAATTTAATTTAATCTGTACACATAAAACATGTCATTTTTATCTACAAAATACATTACCTCAAATCGATCGTTTCTTCAAAAAAGTTCGTACTAATTCCTCTACGTACAAATACTGATAACTTAAAAATTATGATCAAACATAATTTAATTTAATCGCCGCAGCTACATAAAATATGAACGTCGCTTTTATTTATAGAACACAAAACCATCGATTTTATTCCAAAAAAAAAATTATACTTTTATATAACGTTCGCAACGAAAGGCTTTGTCCCGGCACAAAGAACATCGATGTATATCAAGCATACATTGAAAACCATTGAAAGAATTTTTCTAGCGAACACATTGAAAAACATTTGTCACGTGTATACCCGATCCAAAACAATGTTTCACCACCTCGCTGACTCGCGACGCTGTTTCAAAAACGACAAAAATCCCGTATCCATCCGTCAAGATTGTCATCGTATATCCTCGTTCGTTTACTTGTATAATCCTACGCGCGGCTATCGACGAGTATCGAGCAGAACGATAAAAGGAGCATCGAAGCAAAGACAAGCGATTCGAAACGTCGGGATGCCTACCGTTCAGCGAGCCACACTCTGACGGTCTCCCGACGCTTTTATTATGGCAATCGTAAAATAAGTTACCGATCACCTGCGTCCGGTTGATCGAATTTACGGCGACGCCGATTTTACGTCGCCCGGAGAGGATTTCTGCGGTTGGGGACCTTCGAGACACGGTTCTGTCGCAAAGGATACAAAACGTAATTGCGGATGGCGGCGGGGTGGATATTTTAGCGTTGAGATTTTAGTTTAAGGATTTAGAGATTTGGAAGTTTAGAAATTTGGATATTTAGGGGTTTAGGGAATTTAGATATTTGGGAATTTAGGGTTTGGGGAATTTAGAGATTTAGGAATTTAGAGTTTGGGGAATTCACGAATTTGGGAATTTAGTGATTTGGGAATCTGAGGATTTTGGAATCTAAGGATTTTTGGATCTAGAGATTTGGGAATCTAGGGATTTGGAAATTTAGAAATCTAGAAATATAGAAATCCAGAAATCCAAAAATCCAAAAATTCAACAATCTAAAAATCTAAAAATCTAAAAATCTAAAAATCTAAAAATCTAAAAATCTAAAAATCTAAAAATCTAAAAATCTAAAAATCTAAAAATCTAAAAATCTAAAAATCTAAAAATCTAAAAATCTAAAAATCTAAAAATCTAAAAATCTAAAAATCTAAAAATCTAAAAATCTAAAAATCTAAAAATCTAAAAATCTAAAAATCTAAAAATCTAAAAATCTAAAAATCTAAAAATCTAAAAATCTAAAAATCTAAAAATCTAAAAATCTAAAAATCTAAAAATCTAAAAATCTAAAAATCTAAAAATCTAAAAATCTAAAAATCTAAAAATCTAAAAATCTAAAAATCTAAAAATCTAAAAATCTAAAAATCTAAAAATCTAAAAATCTAAAAATCTAAAAATCTAAAAATCTAAAAATCTAAAAATCTAAAAATCTAAAAATCTAAAAATCTAAAAATCTAAAAATCTAAAAATCTAAAAATCTAAAAATCTAAAAATCTAAAAATCTAAAAATCTAAAAATCTAAAAATCTAAAAATCTAAAAATCTAAAAATCTAAAAATCTAAAAATCTAAAAATCTAAAAATCTAAAAATCTAAAAATCTAAAAATCTAAAAATCTAAAAATCTAAAAATCTAAAAATCTAAAAATCTAAAAATCTAAAAATCTAAAAATCTAAAAATCTAAAAATCTAAAAATCTAAAAATCTAAAAATCTAAAAATCTAAAAATCTAAAAATCTAAAAATCTAAAAATCTAAAAATCTAAAAATCTAAAAATCTAAAAATCTAAAAATCTAAAAATCTAAAAATCTAAAAATCTAAAAATCTAAAAATCTAAAAATCTAAAAATCTAAAAATCTAAAAATCTAAAAATCTAAAAATCTAAAAATCTAAAAATCTAAAAATCTAAAAATCTAAAAATCTAAAAATCTAAAAATCTAAAAATCTAAAAATCTAAAAATCTAAAAATCTAAAAATCTAAAAATCTAAAAATCTAAAAATCTAAAAATCTAAAAATCTAAAAATCTAAAAATCTAAAAATCTAAAAATCTAAAAATCTAAAAATCTAAAAATCTAAAAATCTAAAAATCTAAAAATCTAAAAATCTAAAAATCTAAAAATCTAAAAATCTAAAAATCTAAAAATCTAAAAATCTAAAAATCTAAAAATCTAAAAATC